TTCAATTCTTTTAATTCCCATTGAATAATGAAAATTTGGAACTAAAATTTTATTTTATTAAATTTTATTTTATTAAATTTGATTTTATTAAATTTTGAATTTGTAATAATTTTTGAAAAATATTATGGCATTGTAATAATTTTACAATTTCTTTTACTAGGGAATTTCATTTATCTCTTTCTTCATTCATATTTAGCTTCAACCTTTCTTGACATTGCAATTCGCTCTCAAACACATAATCTTCCAAGAGTATATAAAAATAAAATCTTCCAAGAGACGAGAGATAGAGCTTTTTATGCGACTAAAAAAGAATAAATTCTATGTCGCATAATTTTAGAAGATGCAAACCTCGCGGTAAGAAGAGATATAGCCAATTTAAAGAAGTGGAAAAAAAATTATGATAAACTAGAAGGTGTGGGAGATAGAAAAAAAAGAATATATACGTGAGAAAGGCGAAAATTGTTTCTTTAGGCCGCAAAAAAAGATTTTATCTTTTTAGTTTGCTATAATATGAGATGATAAATAGATGACGAAATTTTATACAGTTTTTTGTATATAGTTATCCTTTTGTTCATAATATTCAGAATTTCTATTTAAAGATTTTTTTTATAATCTCTTTATTTTGAGAGAAAGGAAATGAATGCTATCAAGAATTATAATTGTCTTTTGAAACAATTGTCATAGGAAATGATTTGCATCTCAAGATGCAGTGTTTCTTTTACTCACGAATATGAAAAAGATTATATAAAAAGATAAATTGTTTTAATAGTAAGAAAGATTTTTTTTTTTTTTTAGAAAAGTCTTTAAGAAAACCGTCCGAATTGAACTAATTTTTATTGAAAAAAAGGTTTTCAAAATACTATTTTTTTTTTTTTTGTTTAGGGATTTCAATTTTATTCGTGCATGTCATTTGGCTAAGCATAAAATTCTATACCCTCGTAATCATCTATATCACATCAATTTTGCGCACCCATCAATAAATTCCAGATTGAAAAGAAGAGTCAGTATAATCGGTTCAACAAGATGCTTTTAGCACCAGCTTATTTTAGTTATACAGGTGGAAGAGAGATGAGGAAAGATTGAAAGAAGATTTGGTTGTGAAAGATGAAACGTAGACGTAGAAGCAGACAGAAGGAGTCAGAATGTACAATCATTTGTGATTGTTTGACACCCCATAATCAGCGTCCTTATATACCCCTTTCTTTTTTAGAATGGTATACCCATCAAGAGCGGCTTCTCGCTCTTCTCTTCACTTTATATTATATACTTTTGTCTTCCTGATCCTTCATCTTTTTCTCTCTTTTCATTTCCTCCCTCTCCTTCTTTCTCTCTCTCTCTCTCTCTCTCTCTCTCTCTCTCTCTCTCTCTCTCTCTCTCTCTCTCTTCTTGCTTCCTCTATATATATATTTTCTCTCTTAAAAGATCCTCCCTTGTCTCTCGCACTGATTATGCTTGCTCTTTGTCTGCCTCTCGTGAAAATATCTCTTTGCTACTATACCACTGCCAGGGCTCATTACACCGATCACGACTCGAAAGAGAGAAATACGAAGAACGGACACGGTTATATTATAAGAGACAGAAATAATGCTCACTTCCCTTTTTTTCTCACCCGGTGTATATATACCTTTTGCTTCGAGGTCGCGTTCTATACCCTCCTCGCAATAAGAAGGCGCACATTCTTCAAATAATACTATACTATGTCTCCGAACAAAGTTTTCTTCTCAGTTTTCTAATTTTATCTATTTTTTTTTGTTGTAAAAATAAAAATCTTTTTATGTTTTGTTAAAAATCAGAAAACAATTGTATTTTCAATTTTGATATTTGGGAATTAAATAAGCGACAAACTTTAAGTTAATCAAAAAAAGAAATAAAAATGATTTCAGATTTGGCAGTATTATTGTACAGTTATTTTGAATCTTTAACCTACCTAGGAACAAAAAAAAAGATATGAGAAATAACAATGAGTTAAAAAAATTCAGGTAAGGCACACAGATTTAGAGAAAGAGACAGAGAGAGAGAGAAATAAGAGAGATGAATGGATTCTTGGTTGGATTTAGTTTCACTTTCAGTCAGCAGCCATCCGCTATTGCAATAAGCGAAGCGAGGCGTAAGACAAAAGAAGAAGTTTATTGGTGAAGGGCAAAAACAACATGGATCCAAGCTATCGATCGCCTCCTCGATCGGACGCGATCGATCACAGGATCCCTGGTATTACGCAGACGTGTACGTGAGATTGTATATATATATATATTTATGATCATGTCCAATCCATCGTTCGAAATCAGAATTGGTCAGTGGAATGAGGAGACACGAGAAAATTACATCCACCAACGCTCACGCAATCATTTCGCACTATACAAGAAGATGGTTATATGATTTATATATATATATATATATATATATATATAGTTGGTAAGGTGTGTGCGGGAAAGGAGAAAATTCACGAGAGGAGGTGAGAAAATAGGTGAACGGATGAAAGAGCTTAATTGCAAAAGAATGATCTATATCGAAATAAAATATTTTAAATAAATATCATTTCTTGAAATTCAAAATGTCGGATCCAATATGTCCGACAATTCTCAAAAATTGCTCAGGAATTGCTTGAAAATACCTATTCGGAAGGTTACCCACTTGGAAAGATTCACCGAAAAGTGCCCCCTGGAGGTTCTATCAGAATTCCGCCGGAACTTCCAACGTAAATCGGAATCCCATCGGAAATTCTTTGGAACTTCGATGGAATTCCGACGGAATTACGTTGGAAGTTCCGGCGGAATTCTGATAGTACCTCCAGGGGGCACTTTCCGGAGAATCTTTCCAAGTGGGTTTTGGGGTCATTAAATACGAATTTGATGTTAGTTTTTAAAAATTCAAAATGGCGGATCCAATATGGCGGAGGAATGTTTAAAATCGCTTGGAAATTGCTTGAAAATACCTACTCGGGGGTTTTTGGGGTCACTGATTACGAATCCGATGTTTGTTTTTAAAAATTCAAAATGTCGGATCCAATATGATGAACGAATTTTTAAAAATGCTTGGAAATCACTTGAAAATAGCTACTCGGGAGTTTTTGGGGTCCCCAAATACGAATTTGATGTTAGTTTTTAAAAATTCAAAATGTCGGATCCAATATGGTGAACAAATTTTTAAAAACGCTTAGAAATCACTTGAAAATACCTACTAGGGGGTTTTTGGGGTCACCAAATACGAATTTGATGTTAGTTTTTGAAAAATTCAAAATGGCGGATCCAATATGGCAGCCGAAAATTTTAAAATCGTTTGGATTTACATGAAACTTGCGTTTTTTGATGGTTTTCATAGTCGCTGATTACGAATCCAATGTCAGTTTTTCAAAATTCAAAATGGAGGACAAAAAAATAAAAATGTATTTGCTTAAAACTTATTACTCGGGGGTTTTCTATGTGAACATGAGTAAACAAATTATCTAATTTACCAGAATAATTGAAAAATAAAGAAAAAAAAATTTTTTTTTTGGTTCTTTTTCTTTTTTTTTTTTGAAAATGATGATCCACGAGCGTAAAATGTAAAATCCACTGGGGTAAACGAGGTAATTACAAGAGTGGACGATCTTCGAGACCGCGGTTGTTTCCGGGAGGGGAAATACTTGTGAGAGGGGAAAGGGTATGTCGAGGGCAAGGCGCGTGATGAACAAGAGGAAAAAGGAGTAGGGAGTGGGAGGAAGAGAGGAAGAAAAAAGAGGAGGAGGAGGGGGGGGTTAGAATCGAGGTACAGAGAAACCGCAACGCAGCTTCAAAGAGGTCTTCTTGCGCCAGCAAGCGACTCTAGTACCAGGGGCGCGTCTACTTAACTTTGATCAGGTCGGGACCGATGATGCGAGACGAACCTCGACAGGCGAAAAAATCCTTTCGACCTTCTTCTCTTTTCTTTTTTACACCACACTGAATTATCGACGCGTCTTTTCCCAACCAGAAATTGTCGACAAAATTCTATAAATATAAAATGTACCTAAACTACAGAAAATTTTAGGTCATTTTTTTGATTTTTCAAGTGAAAATACACAATAATTAACTATTTATACAAATAATTGATGTTTTATTTTAAATCTTTTATCCAAAAATATATTAATGAACGTTCCAGTCACATTTTGTGTTGATTTATTTGACGATCCTCTCAATATAATCACTAAACATAACCTAAAATTTTTGGGACCTTAGGTCCCTTTTGTCGCAGAGCGTCACATATATTTATAAAGTTAGTACGAGATAGGGAAATAGGGACACTTTTTAAGATTATAATATACGAGAGAAGAAGAAGCGAGAGAGAGAAAGAGAGAGAGAGAGAGGATTGGGACAAGATGGAAAGGCAGGTTGAATGTCGTTATTACGCTGAATTAGAGGGTGCAGAGCCGGAACGAGGTATGAAACTATTACCTCGCGAAACGGCAAACCCCCCCCCCCCCTTCACCCCACCTTCTACTTTCTCTCCCACTATATATACGAATCCCCCCTCTTTCTGCTGTATATTGAGTTGAGAGAGATTATTTGAAATCTCTGGATCAAATGGATTGTCTTTATTTCAGATTGAAAAAAAATTTTTTTTTTTGTTTATAAAAAATACTCAAGTTTTTCGATTGATGTTCCAAGTGGTTTTCAATTCTATATATTTGTAGGTAAAAAAAACCTATATAGCTCTACTTTGATGCGGTACGAATAAAAATTGCTTCGAGGGTTTTTCTCTTTTTTTTCTTTTACCAAGAATCATTTTTCAAGTCCAATAGTTATTTGACAAGTAGTAATTAAATTGATGGATGTATGTAACTGATTAAATATTGTCAATGGTATATTTATTTTTATACAAATTTTTTCGATAGTTTCTCATTAACATTTTAATTTTTATATTTTTTTTTTTATTAACATTGTTATTGTTATTTGTGTTTAAATTTTCGAAAAAGGACAAAATAAGAATAAAAAATCTGAATGTTTAAAATAAATTTTTTTTTTGAATTAAAAATCATTACTCACCCCCATGTTGAGGACTATGTTTGTAGCAATCCTGATGCGCTGATGATCCCTCTGTCGTCGCTAGGTGAACACCAGAGGAGGGTGACGTTGTTCGGTTTATGGTATTGGGGTTGTTGCATGAGCCATTTCCGGTACTCGAAGCTCCATTCCCGGTTTGTTGACTATGTATATGGGTCGTATGATGATGGTGATGTTTGTTTCTTCGATATGATTCTAATTCACGAAGGTGGGATGTAAATGACGTTGGGCCATCGAGAAATGGTCGTTGTCCCAAACCTAAAGCGCGAAATTGTTGATGTTGCTGTCCTGTAAATTTTTTATATCACAAGGAATTTGAAATTATTCTTTTAACGCAAAAAAAATATATATAAAATAAATTTTTTTTAATTATTTCTTTATCTAATTTTAATTTATTACTTTATTATTATTATTATTATTTATTAATTTAGAGTTACAAAAGTAAGATTTTATTTTACTTTGGAAAAATTTTGAAATAATCTTGAATTGTATATATAAGTTATTATATGTGAATAAGAAATTATCAATATTGAGTATCTGTCAATATGTACACTATTGTAATTGCAATGGAGAACGTGTTTGAGTAATTAAGTCCATTGAGTGGCATAATTGAAGAAAGTCGATCACTCAGAGTATTCTATGTGACTTCAATAGAATTCCTGACATAATATAGATTTAGTCAAATCTCCTCAAAGCAATAATTATATATATACATACACCGCATCATATAGAATTACGGATTCCCTAAAATCTGATATTGCTCCTAATGTTTCTGTTATATATACATGAATCTTCTCTTTAAATTTAAATTATTGAGAATTCGATTTCTAATTTAAATTAATTACTAATTTTTGAAAGCAATTCATTTATTTTAGCACGATTACTAAGAAAAATGATAATATTCGATAGTATTTTCATTTGATAGAAAAAAAATTTAAAAAAAAGGAAATGATTTTTTTTTTTGAGAAAAATATAAAAAGATATCAGATTTAATGGAACAATAATATTAAAATGTTGATCCTAGGTAAGAAGAAGGAGAAAAAGAGTTAGGGCACAAATTGTATTCACTATGGCTGAGAGACACCTCCTGCTAGCGACAAATAAAGTTCAACCGCAAACTGAACGAAATTGTTGGTGAGAGAGGGAGAGAGAAAATAGCGTTCCAGATGGTCAAGGCTCTTTGCTTGGGTCTTTCTCGATACTTGTATTATTATTATTATTATTATTATTATTATTATTATTCCACATCGCTACTGACTGTTAATGGTTGCATTCGCATCAGAAGGGATGATGCTCGCAAAACGCGAGAATAAGATGAGGAAAACAAAAAAAATAAAGGCAAAAAGAAGAGGGAGAGGGCGACGTGAGTTCAAATGGATCCCACAATTACTCACGTAACCGGATGCCAGGAAGTTTGTAATTTAAAAAAAAACACATATTTTGATATATACTCAAAACTGTTTTTTTTCCCTCACATATATATATAATACACCTTCGTCGTAATTAATTTTCCATTTCTCCCTAATAATTTTTTTTTCCTAATATTTATGTTTTCGAAAAAAAATCTTTATTTGGAACAGCGATATATTTCTCTGGAATAGTAAAAATATTCGCTGTTCCAGTGAAACTTATCGTTATTCCAGGTAAAGATTTTTTATAATTGTAAATTTATTTATATTTGCTCTAAAGAGCAGGTCAATTGTAAGATGAAAAAAAAAAATTTATAGGTTATGTTTATGATTGAAAATATTCAGTGATTCAAAAATTTATAGGTTATGTTTATATATTATTAAAGATTTATGTTGTGGTCAATTTTTTCGGGTTAAATATATAGCTTCTGGTCAGTCGTAACACCTTTGTACAAAAGAACTCACGATTTAGCTGAAAATATATATATATTTCATATATTTTATGTGTGTCACAAAATGACAAGCTTATCTAATCAAAAGTGCGCCGGTCTCTTCAAACGGAAATGCGGCGCGACTTTTCTTGTCTCTCATTCAAATATTCCCCCACTCAATTCTTTTGAAATTTTATTTCTATCAGGAAAAATTTTCACAAAAATAAAAAAAAAATTTATTTCATTCCAATAATCCAGTTACTTGTCTATATACATTATCGAATAATTATTTACTTGAATCAAATAAATATTTACTAGAATCAAAAAAATTATTTACTTGGGTCAAATAATTTTTATCATTGAATAAAATAAACTCTATTTAAGAATTATTATTATTAAATAAACAATAGTAATAATAATTTCGAGATGGCTCGAAAATTTTGTTTCAAGTTTCAGAAATAAAATTAAGGGGCTCATTGTTCTTTGTGCGAATAAAAGATTACGTATATATACATATATGTACATATAGAAAGATTCAACGGCTAAGTTTGACGAACTGTAAAAAAAATAAAGGTTTTTTGCAGTCTGTTAGAGAAACACGAAGGACAGCATATTGCATACACAGTGATGATGATGAGGAGGGGGAGGGGGGGGGGGGGAATGTTTGCGATCACGCATCTAAACAATGTAATACCGTGTACAAGTTGCCGTCGGCCAACAACCGACGCTTCATTGTACGAGAACAATGTGACGCTGAGGTCTACAAACACCTGCCACCTATCATTATATTCGCATATAATTGTCCCAACTTTCTGTGCTTTTTAGAAATATATATATATAAACCCAAAAATCGTTTCACTATTTTTCTCTTCTAAAAACTAGTTTATTTTTTTTTTACTCTATTTTCTTCAATTTTTTGGCCACATACATTATTTTTATACTGACAATATAATTTGAGTTGATATAGTCGGTTTTACCAAGAAATACAGCTTATTTCATGTGTAGTAAATACGTGCATGGTAAGAAGAATAAAAATGAGAGAGAGAAAAAAAGAGAGGGTAGAAGGGTAGTCGCGTGCGGGCGATTACTAATTTTATTATATTATATTCAATATATATGCGAAAACACACCCACGGTTTTCTGTTATTGGCCACAACATGTATTTATTAATTTTCGACAGTACATAAGCCTCTGTGCGTTTACTTCCGCATCCTGTTTTATATATAACCATGTGCGCACATATTATACGGAATCAAAGTCCCCAAAATTCGAAAAGGGTTAATGTACCCCCTCAGCAGTACATTGACTTTTTATTGAGGCATTTTTTTTTATTGCACACACTACTATACTTACTATGGGTAAACAATTATCAAAAAAAGAAAGAAAGAAAATTATACAAAATTTGGCAGAAAATATTTTGTATTTTATATTTTGAAAAATTAACATCAAATTCATAATCACTGACCCTAAAAACTCCCCGAATAGGTATTTTTAAATAATTGATAAAAGATTTTGCAAAATCGTCCGCCATTTTGAATTTTGAAAAACTGATGTCAAATTCGTAATCAGCAACTCTGGAAACCCCTGAGTAACGAATTTTAAGTAAATTGAATTAAATTTTATTTTTCCGTTCACCATATTGGATCCGCCATTTTGAATTTTTAAAAATTAACAACGGATTCGTAATCAGTGACCTCAAAACCCTTCGTGCAGGTATTTTGAGGCAATTCTTGAGCGATTTTGAAAATCCGTTCGCCATATTGGATCCGCCATTTTGAATTTTGAAAGAAAAATATCGGATTCGTATTCACAGACCCCTAATTTTTTTTTAGATTTACTTAAAATTTGTTAGTCGGGGATATCCGTTATTGCTGTTTACAAATTTTGTCATCAGTTTTTCAAAATTGAAAATGTCGGATCCAATATGGCGGACGGAAAAACAAAAGTTAATTAAATATACTTAAAATTGAACAAATTCTGAAAAATTCCCTAATTTGTAGAACTTTCTATATATACGAATTTGGTTTTATTAATAATGCAAAGCGATTTATTTGTCAATTTTTTTTTCCTTTTTTTTTTTGGTTTACGTTACATTTTATATTGGATTTAAAAGAAAAACAAATAAATCATTTTCACATAGAAAAAATGGAAATGCTTTATAAAAAAAAAAAAAAAAAAATATGGTTCTGAAACAGTTTATAGTTTTTGACGCGATATGTGAACTAGAATAGCAAATCGTTTTGGATCATCAATACTTTAGGCGGGTAAATGCGAAATGGCCACAAAACCAGGCCGCGGATTCTGTCTCTCTCTCTCTCTCTCCTCCGCGGTCGAGTCGACAGTGTCTATTAATCAGATATCGAAACGACAGCAATTTTTTTTTTCGTGTCCCATAGAGTAAAAGGGGCTTTGGAGATTCAACACGCGGTGTGTGTGTGTGTGTGCTAAAGTATCGTGAGAGTAATGCTCATATGTCGTGCGCGTCAATTTGTATATCCATCACTTTCCTATAAAATAGTAAATTGAGGCTGTTATTGTTATGTGTTTTATTTAGCGTTCTTTTATTTTTAGTTATTATTAATCAAGAAATACTTGGGGAAAAAAAATCTCAAGCGCCGGGAGTCGAACCCAAGACCCTAAGGGTGATAATAAAGACTTTAACCTCACAGCTACGGATGATTTTGTAATAATATACTTAATTTAATAAAAATTACAGCTAATTCTATACGTATCAATTTTATCAGTTTTTGATGATTGAAGAAAATTGAATTTTTTTTTTTATAAATAATTAAAATTTTCTTTATTTTAAGAAAATATAAAAATTAAATTTTTCATTATAGATTGAGTAGCTTGCTCGTGGGTGTATATAACTTGATAAAAGCCACATTTGTACATAGATAGTTGTAGATTGTTATGTGCGCGCGTGTAAAAGCACGCGCTGTGAAAACGTGAATAGGTTAAAAGGAATACGCTGCACCACGCGCCGCACGTCGGTCACTATGCATCATTCTATATATTCTGACCATCTGCTCGATAATGACTCCCATTACTACCTACATGGGACTTTCTGTAAATTATTATCGATGCATTTTCTGCCAATAATAATTTTGCATGGTACTTCAATATACACAACTGAATACGCGCTATAATGTTGGAATGCTATATACATACATATATATATATATATATATATATATGCAATATAATAATATACATATATATGTAAAAATTGTACTCACTCGTCTTGGATCGTGGCTCTCGTGGTCCATCGACAGTAACTTTGATTGCACGAGTATAGGTTGCTACTTGAGGTGGTGTTGTCGACACTGTTATCGTTATGCTGAAACTTTTTCCTAAAATGATAATATGACATTAAAATAAATTTGTTTTTTTTTTAAATAAATAAATGTGTTTTTTTGGAAAAACAAAATTTTGCTTTTAACCCTATCGCAATCAGGAGAAACTGAACAATTAAGAAAAGAAAGTTGTTTTTAAAAACACTGATTGGGAATTTGAGGTCCGTTTTTCAAAATTCAAAATGGCGGATCCAATATGGCGGACGAAAATTATAAAATCGTTTCGATTTACTCGAAACTTGTTTTACGTGGGTTTTCAGAGCCGCTGATTACGAAATCGATGTCAGTTTTACAAAATTCAAAATGGCGGATCCAATATGTCGGACGAAATTTTTAAAATCGTTTCGATTTACTTGAAACTTGTTGTACGTGGGTTTTCAGAGCCGCTGATTACGAAATCGATGTCAGTTTCACAAAATTCGAAATGGCGACCGAAATTTTTTTAAATCATTTCGATTTACTTGAAACTTGTTGTACGTTTGTTTTCAGAGCCGCTGATTACGAAAGCGATGTCAGTTTTACAAAATTCAAAATGGCGGATCCAATATGGCGGCCGAAAATTTTTTAAATCATTTCGATTTACTTGAAATTTTATACTCGGGGGTTTCCAGAGTTGCTGATTACGAATTTGACATCAGTTTTTCAAAATCCAAGATGGCGGATCCAATATGGCGGACGGAAAAACAAAAGTTAATTAGATTTACTTAAAATTTGTTACTCGGGGATTTTAAGAGTTGCTAATTACGAATTTGACATCAGTTTTTCAAAATTCAAAATGGCGGCCGAAAATTGAGAAATGAAGTTAGAAATGAAAAATTAGATTTTAAAAATTAAATTAACAAAATCTATTAGTTTCAATTAATAAACATAGTTTAAAAAAAATTGTCTCAGAATTAAAAACATTTTTAGTTTTCGAAGAAGAAAATGATTTTGAATAGGACAATGAGCACGCGAGAGAGATAGATAGATAGAGAGAGAGAGAGAGCAATGATACCGCAGGATCAGGATCGAGAGTCACGGGGTTCGGTGAGGTGGGATATAACTAGAATATAACGCCGTACCGCTTTGCAGTCAGTTGCAGTTCCCGGGGGGTGGCGGGATCAGGGGTGTTTGATGCCGGTTATCATGTTGACAGACACAACGGGGTGGTTCAGGGTGGACCAAGGGGAGACAATTACAAATCGTTGACGTTTACGCCATTCCGACAAACTTGTATACGCGATGCGTTTTCCAGGTTATAGTCAAAAGAATGTTTTCATATATATATATATACATACGGACATTGATCTCATTAAACTGAATCGAAAATTTTTTTTCACTTTATTTTCATCTAATCCAAAAATGTTTTTGCAAAAAAATTTTTATTTTGATAAAATGAATTTCCCAATAAAAATAGATTTCATTTTTGGGATAAAATTTTTTAGCTGAGATTTTGTTTCTTTATTTATAATGAGAATCAACATTTGGTAATAATTCTTTGGCATTTAAAAACTATTACGGTTTCATGGTTCCAAAGCAATATATACCCTCTGGTAAATTTATATCTGACAGGTAATTTCACTTTAACCAGCAATTGAAAAGAATTTATGAAAATCATTAATCATTACACGTTCATTCCAACAGATATATCACATATATTGTTGATAATTTTATAATTACATGCAGAATTTTTAAAATATGTTTTTTCTAATATATGCGCGGACAAAATTTTTTGAATATAGTCAATAAATTTTGAGGATATATAATATTGATAAATTGAAAATATATGGTCGCATAAAATATAATTCTTTACAATAATATATAGCAAAAGAATGTTGGAAATTTAAGTTTCTTTGATAGGCCCGAAAGTTTCTTTTTTTTTTTCGAAACCGATGAGGGTTTATAATTTTTTTTTTTTCTATTGTTCCCTAAGCGAGAATTGAACATTTAGCACCTCATAGATCTAGTCAGAAATCTTTCTAAATGTCTTTGACCTGTCCATCTGATGTGCTTCTGAGGGTCTCACCCCTTTTCTTCCCTCTCACTTTGAATTGGTATAAAGCTTTGTTATCTCCAAGAACGGTAGACGTTTCCTCTCTGTTGTAGTAGTATAAGTTGGAAGCGGTGAATTACCAAATGCATATTAGCGAGCGACGGGCCGTTTAAGAGCGCGTAGTCAATCTCTCCGTTGGACATTTATGGAGAGGGAATTAATATACCGGACCTTCAACCTCGAGACCTTCGTCAATGATATATGCACACGAGAGCTCCACCTCCCTTTTGGAAGCCTTCATTCCCCTATTACCCCGCTGAAGAAGAACGACTTGCTTGTCTCTTCACTTTGAAATTGTAAATTCATATATTTTCTTATGGCCTATATATATATGTGCCAAGGTGTGAACATTTACTGCACTAGTATGATAGTAATAACAAATTATTCAAAACAATTCTTTTTATGTGAAAAGCAATTAACTAAAAGATACCAGAAAAATGAGAATTATTACTACATAAATAATAAAAAAAAAAATGTAGTTCACACAATGACATTTTAATATCATAGTTTGCAAAACAATGAAGACACGACGCAAAAACAACGATTATTGAAAATAATCATGTAACTGTATATATATAGAGTCATAGGCACTTTTCGTTGATAAGCAAATATATTGAAAACGAGAGAGTTTCTATTGAATAGAAATAATAGACGCGCGACCATGGAAATCCAATTTGAGTGGAATGACAGTTATTTAGCGGGTAACTGGACAGATTTTGTAAGGTCCGATGACTGTTTGAGCCCTTCGAATCGACTATGGATTGACGGCTGAACCATAACTGAGCGAGTGTTCTCTCTATATATATTCGTCAATACATATATAGAGCAGTTAGCGAATAGCATTATTTATCTTTCTGGTGGTTTACGATCATTTTCGTTTTGCATTACTATATCAGAACTTTTTTTTTTTTAGATATATCCCAAAATTCAAATTGACTATAGCAAATGTTTTTCATTCGTTAAAAAAATTGTTCGTTTTTTTTCTTCGTTAACCCTCTACGATAATCCGTAATTCCCAATCACGTCGATTGACCAAAACGCCCATGGCACATTTCGTAATACGACCACGACACCCCGATCGGATCATTCCTGATCGTTTTGATATATATATGCGCTTTATTATTAGTTTAATTGCTTTGATTTTAACAATTGACACTTTCATTTATTGACAATCTAAAATAAACATAATTTTATTTAAATTCCTTAATTGAACATTTTAAAACGATTTTTTAGCTCTAAAAGTAGAGTTATATAATATTTTAGTAAAAAAATGGTTTAATTATCGTTTTCAATGAGCCGGTGATCTATATACATTTTTTGATTTTATTTAATAAATTCCATAATGAATGTAATTTGCTGTTTTGATTATAATTTTATTATTTATAATGTAATGTACTGCTTGATAATTTAATAACCCTGAAAATTAGGGAATAAATAGTAGCTGGATTAGAAGCGGAATATATATCACAAAAGGGAAATGGAGGGCATTTAAACAGAGAGAGATGTGAAGGATTGGGGAGGCCTGAATCACTGATGGAGTTAATGGATTATGCAGGCATATAATGCAGGAGAAAGATGCAATAAAAGATAGTCTATTTATAAAAAAAAAGAGAGAGACCAGCTTCATTACATTTTCAATTGAATTTTCATTTATCGATATATTTAAATTCTTTATGTATACATTCGGCCATATAGTGCTATTCAATTTATATTTTATGAAAATATATATATAGAGGAAGAAAAAATCAATTTTTGTTACAAGTGAATTTAATTTCAAATCTCTTTTTAATTTAAAAAATTCAATTTCATTACTAATTTTTTATTTTAAGTTAAACTAAAGCATTTTTTCAAAATTTATTATTTAAGGCTAACTAAAAAAAATTTAGTTTAGTATTTTATATTTACCTTTACCAGCAAATATTTTCGGAAATAATTTGGAAATTCATCAAAACAAATTAATAATATATAGATAATATTCACATTTGTGTACAACATTCATTGAAAATGATTATTCCGATTCATATCCTAGCAATTAACTATTCAATCAATCCATTTAATAAACCTTCCCTCTCTCTATAACATTTAAAAAAAAAAAAAAAAATAGTCAATTCAAATTTTGATGATGATTGTTTTTCCACATACAAGAATCATATCAATATAACAAATGTTCGTAAAATCGATTAAAAAATAATTTAATTTTTCAAAAATTTGAATTGTGCAAAACTCGAGATCGAGCCAATTATTTCTCGTCACACTCATCTCGTTTTAGGAAAAAATTCTTTACCAATTATCCAAATTAATTCGTTTTAATTCCAAAATTTAATTTTAATTCCAGAAATTTTATTTCGAATCAATACGAATAAATTCGAATCGTTTCAATATAGAATTAATTTTGATGTTACTTTCCCGTTTTCTTTTAACAGCAAAAATACCAAAATTGCAAACCGTATCAATACGAATAAATCCGTAGCTAAATTTTCCTCTTTTTAAATTATGAAACATTCCGAATAAATCCGAATCGTTTCAATCAGCAAAAGTACCTTGGCGAAAACCTTTTTTGGGGGCGAAAATTAAGAAATCATTAATGATTTGAGTTGGGTGGGGGGGAGAGCCTTCTCTTGGCCTTTAATTAGTATTCTACCACAGTCCATACATCTGTGGGAACGGAATATTATCGTCGATAGTAATTATTTGACAATTCCAGAGACATCCTGTTGTGTGACTCTATGTTCATCTCTGTTACCCCCCTTTACCCTTCACTGAGAGTGGTCCCCCCCCCTCTCTCCGAATGTTGTGTCCCGACCGGCAGTTTCATCCCCATCCAGGCCCACCACTCGCCACGAGTATTAACGGATGGTTTCGAGTGGTTTTGGGCGGTTGTGCTTTGCTATACACAATGGTGTGGGATGACGTTCATCTCATCTCGGTGTTGCACCAATACATTGGCTCAAATACACATATATGTATATATAGAGAGAGGAGAAACTCTAGATCCATCGCACTCGAGCGTGGTGCCGCACGTTATAGGTGCCACATACGCGTGGCCCGATTTTGTCTCTGCCTGTCCATCCGTCGCTCGGTCCAACTGTTCCGTTTGTCGTTCGCGAATGCATATAGGCCGCCCGGTCCTGTCTCTGCAGATGACCGTTCCCATCATCGAGTATTAACCGCAGGTCCAGGGGCACGGTGCTGCTGTGCGACATTATTAGCCCCCAAATGCGATGGACTCGGCAATGGATGACATTTTCCGTTTCGGGAGAAAATCTCACTCTTGACATGTAACTCATTTTATTTTTATATTCAAGTTTAAAATAGATGCAAATTTTTTCTTTTTTTTTTTCATTTCAATGATATAATTAACAACTATTATTGTAAATAGTAATAGCAATTTGGAAGAATAATATAATAATAATATTGATACTAAATGGGGCCCCAATATAGTTTTCCATATTTGACAAAAAGGAACTTAATTTTTAGCTAAAACTAGTTGGGACCCTGACAGTTTTTCAATTAAATTTCCATACTTCCGTATAGAATTTGATCTAGTTTAAATAGGACTAAGGCCAGCGCCTCCATAGTTTTCCCTATTTGGCAAAAAATGAAAAAGAAACTAAAATTTTAGCTAAAACTCTCACCTTAGCAATTTATCAATTAAATACCTTACTTCTGTGTAGAAATTGTCATATTTATAATAAAGCTATGGATAGGGCCTGGATAGTTTTCCATATTTGACAAATAATGAAAGCAAACTAAGGTTTCAGCGTAGTTAGGGCATTCTAAGTTTATCAATGAAATACCCTATTTTATTTCCGTGTAAAATTGTCCCATTTAAAATAAGGCTGTGGCCAGCGCCTCTATAGTTTTCCATATTTGACAAAAAGGAACTTAATTTTTAGCTAAAACTAGTTGGGACCCTGGCAGTTTATCAATTAAATTTCCATACTTCCGTATAGAAGTTGATCTATTTTAAATAGGGCTAAGGCCAGCGCCTCGATAGTTTTCCCTATTTGGCAAAAAATGAAAAAGAAACTAAATTTTTAGCTGAAACTTGTACCTTAGCAATTTATAAATTAAAAACTTTACTTTCGTGTAGAAATTGGCATATTTATAATAAAGTTATGAACAGGGCCTGAATAGTTTTCCCTATTTGACAAATAATGAAAGCAAACTAAGGTTTCAGCATAGTTAGGGCATTTTAAGCTTATCAATGAAATACCCTATTTTATTTTCGTGTAAAATTGTCCTATTTAAAATAAGTCTGTGGCCAGCGCCTCTACAGTTTTCCCTATTTGACAAAAAATGAAAAAGAAATTAAATTTTTATAGCTGAAACTCGTAGGAATCTTAGCAATTTATTAATTAAATACACCATATTTCCGTGTAGAAATGGACATAGTTATAATATAGTAATGGACAGGGCCTGAATAGTTTTCCCTATTTGACAAATAATGAAAACTAAGTTTTTAGCGTAAAATAATCAAGGCATTCTAAGTTTATCAATGAAATACCCTATTTTATTTCCGTGTAAAATTGTCCTATTTAAAATAAGTCTGTGGCCAGCGCCTCTACAGTTTTCCCTATTTGACAAAAAATGAAAAAGAAATTAAATTTTTATTGCTAAAACTTGTAGGGATCTTAGCAATTTATTAAATAAATACACCCTATTTCCGTGTAGAAATTGACATAGTTATAATAAAGTTATGGACAGGGTCTGAATAGTTTTCCCTATTTGACAAATAATGAAAACTAAGTTTTTAACGTAAAATAATCAAGGCACTATGAATTTATCAATTAAAAGCCCTATTTTATTTCCATTTAAGAAATTGTCATATTTATAATAATGCTATGGATAGGGCCTGGATAGTTTTCCCTAACAAATAATGAAAACAAACTAAGTTTTCAGTGTAGTTAGGGCATTATGAGTTTATCAATGAAATATACCCTATTTTATTTCCTTATTAGAAATTGTCCTATTTGAAATAAGGCTGTGGCCAGCGCCTCTATAGTTTTCCCTATTTGAAAAAAGACAAACTATGCTTTTAGCGTAAACTACTAAGAGCCTTAGCAGTTTGTCAATTAAATTCACTATTTTATTTCCATATAAATTAAAATAAGGCTATGATCAGGGCCTCGATAGTTTTCCCTAAAAAAGAATGTAAACCATCTCTATTTGAAGATTGCCTTTTTGTTATTTCTGACATTTATTATTTATTTAATTCTTTTAGTTAAAAATTTAAGATATAATTTTAAGTTAATGTAAAACAAAAAAAGAATGATAAATTATAAATATTTTTCTACCTATATTATAATGTTGTATTTTACTTTCTGGTTTCGCGGAATTTTTCAGAATAAAATTGAGAGAATGAGATTTGAGGTATAACTTCAGGTCTCCCAGGGTTCCACGATGATTTCTGATTAACGGTCAGTTGTTTCGTGTACCCGGTTGGGGCTCGTGGCGGACGTCGAGTAATGACTCTGGGGGCGGCGAGAGCGGAAACTCGCGAATATACAGAGAGAAATGAAGAGAAACATAGAGAGGAGAAAAGCGGGTGGGTGACTGATGACGATGATGATTACAATAACAGTGATTTTAGAGGGTTCACTAAAGGGCTTGACACAGGAGAGTAAAATTCTCGTCTCTTATTATTCTGCACGTTGCTTTTGATATTATTATTATCATTCTATAGGAGTATATATTTTTTATTTTTCAAAAAAAAAATTATTATTTTTACAAAAATTCAATTTTTTTTTTTTTATTTTTAAAAGAAGAAAACTTACCCCTTCCACTTCTGCCAACGAACCTGAGGTCATTGAACTTGGCCACTTGATTTTTCATATGAGCAGTTGCATTTCTTAATTCGGCACAACAATTTTCGTCATTACCTGCTCGAATAGTGACTAAAGTACCATCGCCAACTTCTCCAAGTGCAACGACTTTAAATGCCATTGGTAGTGTTTTATTTGATCTCCAATGATTTGGAAGTTGAGTACATAAAAAATAGGGAGAACCTGTAACACAAAATAGAAACAAAAGAAAAAAAGTAATTATTATTTCTCATAATTTTTTCATATATAAGAGAGAAATTTTCAGGGGAGATATTTTTTTGAAAAATATATGTATAACTGGAGATTTCTTTTTAATGATAAAATACTTTTAGCTCGTTCAATAAAACTGGAAACTAACCTCCAATTAGTAATCCAGACACGTAACATCAAGGTGCACTCGCTGATTACGAATCTGAATTCAAAATTCAAAATGGCGGATCCAATATGGCGGACAATTTTGCTGAAAATTGATATTTTCTCATGAAACTTGGTACCTAGGGGTTTTTGGACTTGCTGATTACGAATCTGAGGTCAAAATTTCGTAATTCAAAATGGCGAATCCAATATGGCGGGCAATTCTGCTAAAAATTGATATTCATTTAGGAAACTTGGTACCTAGGGGTTTTTAGGGTCGCTGATTACGAATTTGAGGTCAGATTTTCAAAATTCAAAATGGCGAACAAAATTTTTAAAAAATTGATATATTTTCAGAAAATTTGCTATCTACAGTTTCTGGGAAACAAAAATGAGTGTAGAATTTTTTTATTTTTAATAGAAAATGGAAATATTTATATTTTCCAAGGACGTTGTGAAATACCAGGTGGTTGACGAGATTTTGGACCCTCGAGTCTGACTTTGTCCCTTATTACAGCGGCAGCCGCGACGACGTGTGCGTAGGTACTCATTAGGCACGAGCTAATTGGCAGGGTCAAAGTGTAGGTGGGGGAACTACCGTGGACAAAAAAGTTAAGAAGATTAAGATGAAAAAAGAAAGGGAAATTCCTCCTCAAGTCTCAAATAATGCCAAACAGGAAATATTCTCTATATATATATATATATACATTATATTGTAAAATATATAATATGAGAAATTGATTTCAGTGGAGGTTGAAATTTTAAACAATATATATATAAAAATTAGTTAATTAAAAAAAATCATAAAATAAATAATTTATTAATTATTAATAAATTATTATATTATGGTAATATTTTTATATTACTATAATATTGCATCAGCAATACCATTAGTGTGAATATAATTTTAATTAAATAAATAAATGAAATTTTATTTTAGTTAATAAATTTGTTTGTAATTTGTGAATTTATTTCTTATTTCTATGGAAATTTGGTAAAAATGAGTGTAATATTTCAAGACCACTATTATATTTATACGATCAAAATATACCTACATAAAAACTTCACATTTTTAATATTTTATCACTTTTTTTTTCTCTCTTTTATTATTGTTTTAAATTTTTTCCATAAAAAAATTATGCCGGTTTCATAAAATATATTTTTATATTTAAAATTTAATTCTCATACATATATGCAGAATTTTCTCGTTTCTTTTAGAATACTTTTTTTTTTAGACAAACTTTGTTGAACATCACATATATATTATATTATATATATATTTTTAATTTTTATCAAAATTAGCAGAACACAAACTGTTGAAAAGTAGGCGTATTTATATAATTTCCGGCGGTAGTTTATATCAACCAAAAAAATAAAAGAAAAAAAAAATTATCACAAATAATAATAAGTTGTACCACATTTTGCTAATGAGCTATATATTAAAAATAGTTGAGAAATTACTCTTTTTTTAGCATATATACGATTTGAAGAGAAAAATAGATATATAAAATAAAATTTTAAGTTAAGAAAAATGTATTAAAAAATTAATTATAAATTAATAATTAGTTTTTAAGATTGGTCCAGTTGTATAGGCTATGCGCAACTGGGAGATACGTATAAAGCGCGAATCGCTAGGCGCCTATTATGTATATGTATTACATTAGTATATACTTATTTTTGTTGCGTTTAGAAACAAGGAATATAATTTTCAAAAAAAAATTTAATATTTTTAGTTTGAGATTTTTTATAAAAATTTAAAAAAGACATTTTTAGTTTTTAATTTTCTTCAGATTTATTAAATTAATATATAGATCAAATGAATATTTATTTGAATTTAACAGAGAATCTTTGAAACCAATCGGAATATTAGTATAAAAAAAATTAATAATATAAAACATTATTTTAATACATATTTATATTTATATGCAGACCTTTAGGTATATTAATTTGTATATATATGAGGGAATCAAAAGGAACGTCCCACTACAAGGGGCGCTACTGTAACACTATATAATTTATAATTTTAAGGTTGTAAACTAGAGCTAATAATAGTTTTGAATTAAATGGATGATTATATCATCTTGTTATCAAAAGGGTTTTAAATAAATGAACAAAAATAAATATAGTCGAAAAAAATTTATGAAATTTTTTTTTTATACTCTTGGATATATCCGAATTTATAAAAAATTTCGTCATATTTAGAAAACAGTTTTGTAAAATCGATATAATTTCAATACAAACAAATGTTTTATTTTTCATTTGTATTTTCTTTCGAAATTTTTTTTTTTAGAATAAATTCCCTCTAATTTCTCGAAGGAATTTTAAAAAATTTTCTGAAAAATAAACCAAACGTTTATTTGGAAGAAAAATTTTCTCTGAATAAAAATTATAAATTAAAAGAATTAAAATTAAGCTTCGAATTAATTTGGAATTATTTTTTTTTTTATCAATTTTGGTTAGCGAAAACTTTTGGCATAACTCTCCAAATAAGTAAGGAAAAATTTTTCTATGTATTCCAACCTGTTCTAACAAGTTCGCCAGGATGTTCGGCTTGGGCCTCGCCAACGAGTCTTTCGGTCCACCAGAGCTCGCCGACGGCGGCACCTTCACTCATTTCGCCTCCACCACCACCACCTCCTCCTCCACCTTCTTCTTGGTACCTCGAGTTCAACCCCTGAAGAGGGACCAATGAAGATCCAATTGGCCCGGCACACTCGTGGGTACCAACGGAACCAAAATTCTCCCCACAGCTCACTGATCCTACCGGGAGATGCATCCCATCGGTCAAATGCCGCCCCCGCTGCTCCAATTTCAATAAATCTTCCTTACGTGACGTCGTGATTCCTTTTTGCAAAGACAACCGACGTCCTCTCTTTTTTTTTTACACTATTTTTTTTTTCTATTTTCAATTCACTTATATTTCTCATTCACTTTACCTAGTAGAACTTTCATTTTGAAAAAAAAATCAACACTAACACATCTTTCACGGGAATAAAAAATTATTTACCTGTTCCATAATAATTATAATAACACTTAATTTTTTTGTTTCAATTACGTTTCTTTTAAATAAAAAAAATTTTCACTTTTTTTTTTTTGAACACTTAGTATAATTTTTGACACTATTTTGAATTTTTTTCTTTTAACACTTTTTTTTTGGAAACAGGATTTTATGTTTGATTTACGATCAATGAAAGTTGAATCGATAAAATAAATTTGAGAAGAGTGTATAACAACGAAACGTCAGTCGCGGTCGGCGGCGCGCGACGTAATGCGTGGAATTGTGGCTTGGAGGCCGCGTGTTCCGCGGAAGCCCTCCGGGACGGCCCAAGAGCTGGAGAGTGTGTCCTCCTCCTCTTTTCCTCCTCGCAACCCCGCGGCGAAAGTTACTATATTCATGGTCGAACCATGCGTTTTGCATTATTATTTTTCTTCTCCTTCACATACACCTCCCACCCCCACGCTCCGCCTCCATCTGCTTTTTTTTTTCTGAAAAACACTTTTTTTCAATTCCCCCCTCCCCCCCCCCCAAAAAAAAGTAAATTTTTGTGTCACCTTTGTACGCCAAAAATTTTGGAAAAAAATTATTTTAATTCAAAAATCTGATTGTTAAAAATATTTATTATTTAACGTTTTGTTTAAAATTAGTTATGAAAATGATAATTTTTAACTTATTTTTATAAACAATAGCTATTTATAATAATTGCAATTGTTTTACTAAATTTAAAAAAAAAAAAAAGAAAATATTTAATAAAAAATTTTGTCTTAAAGATTATTTTATTTTAGTAGGCTGAAATTTTTAACTATTCTTAAAAAATTTGATTTATTTAAAAAAAATTGTTATTAAAAAAAATAGTTATAAAAAAAATTATTATAAAAGAAATTAAAATAATTTATAACCGAAGTTATACAAATTTAATTTAAACGTTCTAATAAGTAGTATATATTCAAAGTAGTAATAGCATATGTCTGACCGAGTTGTCTGTAACTACTTAAAACTAGAAGTCTACCATTTTTCACAATTGGAATCATATTTTTGAACTACTTTCATTTCTTTTCTATTAAAAAAAAATTTTTTATTTCTTTTATCTATATTATTGTTTTTCAAAGAAATTTAGTCAAACAAAAAAAATAATATATTTCAACTATTAATTAACAATTTCTTAATCTTTTTTTCTCTTACACTTCGATTCAAATATAATATTGTATATTTCTTCATTTTTCATTTGTTTGAAACAAAAATAGAATTTTTCTGTTCCAAATATATTTTTATTGAATTGAAATAAAATTTTTTTTTTTTTTTTTTAATTGATTTGAATGAAAAAAAAAAATATTCTATAGGTGTGATAGTTTCAGACTAAGGAAGAGGTGTTTTTGAACTACAAGGCGTAACAAGTGTCTGTGTGACGTCACATAACATTCAAGAGGCGGAGCTTTCAATATGGGGGTGGGGCTCATTTTGCCCCACCCCCGCGAATCTACGTTTCTTCATTCTTTTTATTCTCTTTTATCCTTATCTTCCAGGACTCACGTTAAATCTTCTCTCTGCGCAGAACCTGCGCAATCTCAGTATCATCTATGTATATATATTATACGCTTATATTTCTCCACTCTTCTACATATTCATATATATATATACGAACATTTTTTTCACAATTTTTTTTTACTATTTAAAATTTGTTTTTAATTTATTGTTATGCCGATTATGAAATCAGGTGAAAAAGATGCTACAATTTTTTTTTCTACTCTCTAAATCTGAATTAGTAAAAATTTTTACTAATTTAAATTAGTGACTTAATTTTTGCTTTAGAATTAGTTAAATTTTACTAATTGTTAGTAAAAGTTACTAATAATTAGTAAAATTTTACTAATTCAGAAGCAAAAAGTGAGTCACTAATTCAAATTAGTAAACATTTTTACTAATTCAGATTTAGAGAGTAATCATAAATAAATTGTATTTAAGATGTTTTTTTAAAATAAATTATAATAATAATATGGAGGAGAAAATTACTTTTCTTAGTTGATAACAATTTGATCGTTTTCGTATTCGTATTTGTCAAAAATAAATACTACTGGAATTTAAAAAATACCTAATATTTTTTTGTTGGAAAAATTCTTTTTTAATAATAATAAAAAAAATAAATATTGCGAATATTCATATATTTTGTCAGAATTTTTTACATTTGAATAAAATTCTCCTCAATGGACCACGTAAGAATATTATTATTTATAAAAAAGTGAAAACGAAAAAAAATTTTTTTCTCGAAAAAAATGAATTTCTCACGCATGACAATTATTGGTGTTTTTTTTCATACATATTGTGTTGAAGTAATAGTTATTATATTTTAGAAAAAAAAAGGAATTTTTTCCGTTTTTTTTTTCTTTCTCAACTACCTATTCTCCACTGATTGTGAATAGTCGTCGAAGACCCATAAAGTGCCACCGTTTATCGTCAACTGTGGTCTGTTAAAGTGCGCGCGATCGAGAAAATATGTTCGCAAGTTGCATTTCTAGTCGTCCATATATATATATATATACAAATTTACAGAAATATAATTAACTCCTCGAAAGGTCAGCCGGGACCTTTTATCTATTATTTTGAGTAACGTGCGTGTGTATAGAGTGCGCGGCGTTATATAGAAGTTATGAGATACTAAATCATTTCGTCTCTCATAAAGTGGCTATTTCAAGCAAATTTAAAGAAGCATTTTGTAGGACAGTATTACGTGAATTATGATTCATGTCTCTCACAATAGTAATAGTAGTAGTATATGTCTTCCAAATGTGTTTTTAGAAAAAAAATAATAATATTTATTAACAATCCTATTTTTTATTGCGTAAAAAATTCATTAAAAGACTTAAAACTTAAGGTATATAAAACATAATTGCAAAAACGAATGTTTTTAAGACACTTTTGTCATGTTTTTTTAAGGCATTTTACAGTGTCTTTGAATTCGGCCAGAATGTCTTATAGATATTTCCCTAACCAATAAAACAATAGTCGAGACTATATTTTATCAAAATAAAAAAAGCAAACTTATTTTAGGACATAAGACACTTGGGAAACGTCTTAAAAATGTTTCGATTTTTTTCATTGAGGAAAATAAGATGCTAAGACACTCCGTCATTAGCCGAAATCTAAGACACTGTAAAATGTCTTAAAATTCAGAACGTCTCTTATTTTAAGACATAAGACACTTAGAAAACGTCTTAAAATTGTCTCGGTTAGGAAAATAACTAAAACATTTTTAAATTCACTACATAAACAGATGTCTTATTTTAAGACACTTTTGTCTTGATGAGACATTTTACAGTGTCTTAGATTTTGTTAGAAATGTCTTAGATATTTTCCAAATCAATGGCGGAATTTCTTAATTTCATCTTTGATCGAATAATCTAAGACACGATAAACTGTCTTGAAAATCAAGACAAAAGTGTCTTAAAATAAAAAAAAAATCTCATTATATTATTTTACAGATTTATTCCTATGAAACTTAACACGAGAATATATATATGAATAGAGTATGAGACAAGGTGTACAAGAACATAAAATACTATATATACTACTATGTGCTGACCCTTGTAATTAAAATCCCGTCCCTAAATCAAGATTAAGACACCAGTTAAGTTACCCTTTCCTCAATTGATTTAAATCCGAATCCCATTCTCTACATTAAGCTATCTTACACAACAATTCATTTTCTTAATATTTTTCTATTGTTTTATTAAATTGAAAAATATTATAACTAAAAAAATATATATTTTGTTAAACAATTTATAAATAATTTTTTTTAATATAAACAATTGTTGGATATTTATTGATTAAAAAAAAAATTATTTAATAATTATTTAACAAAATGAATTTTAATAATTTTGGAATAATTTTTTTCTGTTTTCTTTATTTCTTCAATGGTTTTAGTAAATTTTTTTTTGAAAACAAACTTTCGACTCTGACTTTGCTTTACACGTGTGCGTATTTTAATTACCGGTAGATACATATATAGTCAGTTAATAAGCTTAATAAACCCTCCATGCAACTGACCCTTCATTTTGTCCACTGGAATCTCGATCCTAACAATACAGGGATGGCTCTTCATTTTCTTCATTATATATATATACCGTATACATAAATTTAAAACCGATTACTGTAGTAGAATTTTTTTTTTTTTAAATGATTTAATAACAAAAATTAAACCCCTTCTATTTTGTAAATTAATTTTTAATTCAAAACTTTGGAATCTATTATAAAATAATTATAATTAATTTATTAATTAAATAATAATGATAATTATTTGAAATTTTTTATCTTTCATATTTATTTATATAAAAATAAATATGAATGTGTATTATTGATGAAGTATAGGGAATTTTAAGTATATATGGTATTCTATGGGTTGAAATTCATTTGGGAAATATAATTTACACCGTGAAATTAATATACCCAGTGAAATGTCGATGAAATTTATAGCTTCTGCCTCCCTGCGCGCTTTACAGCAAAGCGGGTGCCGCGTAAGCTTCGGACGTCCAACTTTGAGAAGCACATCAAAAGGATTAAAATGCAAATACCATAACTCGTGTATAAGCTTTCCTGTAAATTCAACATTTCGTTTTCACTGAACAAATGACCTATTGGGTATTTAAGCTCATTGGAGTGATAAGAGCTACAAACAGTTCATTTAAAGCGAAAAAAGAAAAAAAAATAAACCTTTTTTTTATAAAAAAAAACACAAACTTTCCCCCCGCCCCATTTTCATGGAATATAATTAAAAAAAAACTATTTGTTCTTCATTTTTTGTTATAAAAATAAATTTTTATTTTCCTTTATAATAATTTTGATCCAATAAAAGAAGAATAGAAGAAATTGATAAAAAATTGAATTTTATATTTACAAATTATAATATGAAAAATTTTATTTATATTTTATACGCTTTTTTTGAATTTAAATCCTCTATATAAGTTTGAGCGCCATTTGGATGGATATTGATTTCTACATTACCTGCGAAGGGTAAAAAAAAAGATAGTTGCCTTGTAGAGAAATTTTCTCTACACATGATAAATTACCGACGGAATATTTTATTCAATAAATTGTTTTATCCGATCAAAAGAGATAATTAGAATCTACTTTATATAATAATAATTTAAAAAAATTGTAATTAAAAAAAGAATATAAATAATTCTCTATATAATCATTTTATCATCAAAGAAATGTTACCTGTTAAAGATATATTATCGACTATTGCAAGTATATAAGGAAACTGTAACGATTCACCGACAGAGGGCAGAAAAAGTTTTCAATAAAAAAAATTATTTAAAATTTTTTTTTAAATTGACTGAAATAATAATTAAATGATGCGAATAAATGTTTAATAGATAAAATAAAACTTATCATCTTT